CCAGCACCCGCATGTCAACATCATCCGACAACTCGTGCAGCAGCTGCAGCATTAAGTCGGACAGCCAAGCGATGATGCACCTCGCCTTAGAGGTAAACTGCAAATGTCGATTACAGGCCTCTAGACCCAGGCTTTTTCGAACAACTTGATAAGCCCCGATGCGTTGTAGCCTTTAGCAGCCATCGAATGAAAGTCATCTCCGCCCTTGAAGAACGTTGTTCGGAACGGCGGCTGCGAGTGCCTGTGCATGTTCCAATGTTATAACTGTGAATATATGTGTTCTAAACTAAAGATCGCAAGTCACCGGAACCTTATATTAATCACATGTTATATTGTAATCTGGTCTATGCCGACTGAGCAGCTGGATTCCTCTGGCACGGGCCCACGATGCGAAGTCCTGGTAAGCCCTCGAAAGCCGGCCGGCCAGGGGCTCATTGCAGCCACCCCACAGAAAGGGCAGCTCCTCCTGGCGTGTGGTATAGAACTTGGGTTAGGATCATAATAATATCTAGCATTTAGACAGATTCCCGGTGTCATGATGTATAGCGGCCATTTATTAATTTTCATTATGTCCCGACAATTGAAGAGCGAGGGCAACATACCGATGTGCATACATGTATATATATATATATATATGTTCACAGGTCTGTATGTATACTTTAAGAGAGCTAAAGAGAGAGAGAGAGAGAGAGAGAGATAAAGATATACACACATGATATCGAAATCACGAAATAATATATTAAGGCTTTGGAGCTGGTGGGTGTCAAGGGATTTGGGACTTGAAGTTTAAGCTCAAGGGTGAAAGATAGATCTAGTTAGTTTACGATCAACCATTTAGCCATGTAGTTATATTACACTCTTGCGATCTCCTTCAGCATCAAGTACTCCATCGCCGAGGCTCCCACCCATCCAGCATACCCCAGGTTGATGACGTGAAGTGTGCACCACCTAAGGGCACTGGGGTGCTCCAGGCCCTCCACCCAAAGGAGGGCACCTCGTTTCGGTTGAATATGTTGGGAGTTTATGATGCTTAAATTATTACACCTAAAACCCTAAACCCTAAACCCCTAAACCCCTAAACCCCTAAACCCCTAAACCCCTAAACCTATATCCCATGTAGACTAAAGATCTAGTCGAAAGTAAAGAATTCTTGGTCCAGGTCACACTTTTCTCCGGAGGAGTCTGGCTTGAGGCTGGCACTGAAGCTGTTAAAGTTTCGTCGTTCAACATTGTCCAGGTTGTAGGGGAATTGGACATATTCATTGAGCTTCATGTGGCAGTGCATGCATATGCTCTTGTTGTTCCAGCCGAGGTTCATGTTGTAGAGGGCCTGCTAGGATCCGAGGTGCTTCTGGGCTTGATGCTANNATATTATTTCAGCTGATATCATTAGAAAATTTGATAAGATCTGCACGGGTCTTGTTTCGTGGTTTTTGCACTTAGAAAGTACTGGTATAAAACACCTTGACGAACTTCCAGTCGCCCCGAACTTCTGTCACCGCGTAGAAGTTTGGGTAGTCGCCGTTCTCCGACAACAGAAGTTCTTCAGTCAGGTTCGGCTTGATAACATTCTCCCATGTTTCCCGCGTGAAGTCTGGTTCGAGGTGTAGTGGAGAGGCCGGCACTCGTCCATAGAATAGTATATTCAGGGAGATGGCGATCTCAGCAGGGTAGCTTAAATTAATATGTCTACACATACCTAGAATCGACTAAATGGAACCGAATACAATATGGGGTTTCCGAAAATAGGGGACCCTAAGATAGTACCCTAGAGAATAGGATCCTTATTATAAGGACCCCAAAATAAGGCTAGGTACCCTAATTTTTGGAAACTCCNNTAATAGTGCTGTGCTGCAGGAAAGGCACCGGGGCGAGGTAGGCATTCAAGGTGTCAAATCCAATTGACAAGCCCTTAGCTGCTTGCAAGAATAGCAAAAAAGATAGTTGGCTTCAGAAGTTTGGCAGAACGAAGGGTTAGGAAATCTGTTTACTTATATAATTATTTACTAATAATATAAATACGTAAAGAAATCGAGTTCTCATTCCCAGCTAGCAACTTCTCGCAACACAAACAGCGGAAAGGTCGCGGCCATAGAGTGTTTCGCCGTGGCCAAACAGTCCGACAGCGTGAAGATTACTAACTTGTTGCCGTTTTTGTCAAATTGTGCGTCGTCCCCGTAAACTCCCAGAGGTCGATGCTTCTTGTCATGGATGCACGGGTGCTCGTAACCTGTTTCCTCCATGTGCGACCAAAACTTTTTGGTTTCCTCCTCTAGGCCTTGTTCCAAGTGGCCTTTCAAGCAAAGCTGCACCATCAGCTCATGGGGGAACACCATGGGCATCTTCCTGGAACATGCTTCGAACTACGGACATGCTCATATTTAATAATTGTATGCGTGTGTGACCGTCCTTTGCACCACGGTATCATCCGTCATGGATCTCCGCATGGGGACCTGGACGTACCGAATGGGCACCTCGGTTATAGAAGTACGGTTGGGATTTGACATATAACAGCACATGATCATGACCGACCATCATGCAACCGATTTGTAGGAGAAGGCTCCGAAGAAGGAAAAGCCCGAAGCATGTCACGTTGGGCGTTCTGGGCATGCTGGATATCGGCCATTTGCCGCGTGCCCCCAACCATCTCGACCCCGTAGGTCTGCTTCAGCTCCTGCCAGCAGGTGCTTATGGATTGCATTTGGATTGGCGATTA